CTGTAGCGACAACGGCACATCCTCGAGTTCGTGCGTCTGGACCGTCCTTGGTTTCCTGCTTGTACCACTTCTTGCTGTCTATGTCATAGACGTCGACTGTTTGCATAAACTCAGGGCTTTGCTTTTCCTGTCATCGTGTAGTGTCAGTATCACTTCCATATCGATGCAAGTTTGAATACAACTTACACTCTCTACCTCGTTTGCGGATTTGCCACTTCGTCCTGCCCATTCAGGATAGACAACACCCCCAAGGACAACAAGAATACCTTTCTTGCCCACAGGCACCCAAACAACCTCTGCATTGGCACGTCCCTTGGGCCCTTTCAGCGTTGTGTTGGTCCAGGTTTCGTAGAGCTGCTCCTCCATGTTCAAGGTAATCAGCGTGTCGGAAACGTTCGTGGCCTTGTTCTTGGGATCGTTTGTGAAGAAAGCTCCATATGTCGGCGATCTCAGTCCAGAGAAATAGAACGCAAGGTTTTCAGACGGTACATTTGCAGCTCCTCCATACGCAACGTATCTAGTGACGTCTTTATCCAGCTTGTCATCAACAAAACTTGGCTTCCATGTCGGCTTGTCAGGTCCGTACTGGTATGCCTGGTAGCCCAAGACTTCATCCTTATCGGGTGCCTGGTACAAATCATCGTTTCGCAACAGATCGCCACCGTAAAGAAAGAATTCGGCATCGTTGCCAAGGAGAGCGCCATCGACAAAGTTAGGCGCAGCGCCATTACTGTTTCCTGAGCCGCCCCGTGCTTTTGACATGGCTGGTTTGTCGAGAAGAATCTGCGTCACATTTGTCGTCGTATTAAATGGAGTGCTCAGGTTGAAGTTGAGGATAATGCCCTCATTGTTACCTTGGATTGTTAGCCTGACCAAGAGTAAGAGATCGAAATGACCAACCTGTGTCAAGTCCTGTGATAGTTTCGCCATCATTCATATGTGCAGTCCATTTGATATCACCGCCATCTAGATATACCATATCCCGAATCATTATTGCTGACCGGACATTAGACAAGGCTTTAACTAGGTTATTAGACGATAGTCTCACCTCTTGGCTGCTTCCAAATACATATTTCGGTACTGATTTGGCCATCTTGCCAGGCATCAAACTGTGCGACCGCTGGACCAATGGCCGCGGCCAGGAATGCCCACGGTGCAGTGTTTTTGAACATCATGGCTACGATCATGAGTTATTCTGAGGGCGTCGCACAGAGCAGACGTTTGAAAGAAATCAACTGCGAGAAGATGCTAGTGCACCATTGCTTATCCTATCCTAAAGGCGGTCCCAATGGCCGGCAAAGAGACCGAATATCCGCTGGGAGGCGAAGTGCACACAAGTGACAAGGCTGGTTTGGGAAGGTAAGCAATTCCTATTGAACAAAGAAACAGCCTCGGTCTAACTTAGAATCAAAGATCACTAAAGTGTCCGGGCAGCTCGATGCTTGGCGGGTTTGTGCAATATGCACGTAGAATGAGTGGGCAAGGATCAAGGAACTAGACGCCGAGACAAAATGATTGTAAGATGAGAAAGTAAACGGTATAGAGAGAATACAAAACGGTCTGTAAGACAGAATACCAGGATGGAAGGCAAGTGTACAGTATTCTCTGTAGAGCAAACGTTCGCCACCGAGACCAGTTGAGACCGGAGGGGATGGGGAAATGATAGGGCTGAGGGATCAGCTGTTCCTCATGTTCAGACAGCAGATTCGTCGGTTAGAGGTTTACAGAGCCATTGAGCTACATCCATGCTCTTCGGTGGGTGCCCATGCGAATATGGACACCTTCTTACTGCGATGCAGCATGCTCTGCATGCGTTGGCTACGGTCAGGGTTGTGCTTCCGAGCTGACACCGTTCTGTAAGGACATTACTTTTGACCAGGATCAGTCGATATCTCACTACTCAGCCTCAATCCTCTGGAGCCTGATTCTGCAACTAAATGATGAGGAGCTAGGCTGACCGTTGAAAATGGTTCATCCATTTCAAGTGTGGAAATTTCCAGTGCGGTAAACAGGTGGATATCCTATTGCTAAGGGCCGACCTCGAGGAATTTTGGATCTCGGATCGACCTAGGACCGGACCAGGGTGTAGCCACTGCTCTGAACAGGCCCTCTCAGCTTATGCGCCCGATGGAACGGACGGTAGCCGATGGCGGTAGAAGGAACAGATGGCCAGCCGAGTCAAGATGCAGGCTGTCAAGTTTTCTTGAACAAAGAACCAGTGGCTATAGCTGAGAAGCAGATGAACCAACAGGAGCTTGTGGGTAGTGTTTTGTTTCACAGACTATCAACAGCCACAGCCGCTAAGTGGCCCAGGCAGTTGGAATCACGGCGATCTAGCATGAGGTTTCAAGTTGATTGGATCAGTTGATCGGTTTGGATGAGAAGCAGGCTCTGAGCAAAGAGCTTTGCCCTCTCTTTCTTGTCAGTTTTCTCGTCAGCACCGGATTTCCCTATTTTGACGGACACAGACACGGACATGACCGAACGGAACAACTGGCTCTTTCTGCCAGAGATGTCAGAGTCGCAAGAAGAAAGTGCAAATCCAAAAGTGCCATCCGTCGAAGGACGGGTAGAGAGCCTTTGGAGGCTGGGCTTGACCGGGATTGGACTGACATGGCCGATCTTACCATCCACATCCCTGCCTAAAATAAGCACTGGCACATGTCGGGGGGGAGACAATGTAACGAGACCACATCTCACCCATCGGACTCTCTCTCCGTGAAGCCAAGGAGAGGAGAGCCTCCGTTCATACGGAAAAAGGTGTTGTTTTTGCACTGCAAGGATGATCTCTCCATCAACTCATGCGCTGTGCTGGCAACCTAACCATCCACGTCTCTTAGTCCGCTGCATATCGGACGCAACTCATCGAGGCCCCCGCAGCCACGGGGAGTGGCCACGATGAATCAAAAGTCGCGCAGATGTCAGACTGAATGCGAGGTTACGACCAGGCGTGGGGGAGGGAGAGACGAACTGTAGGCAACACAGCATCCGGGTTTGGCAATGTTTGGTTATTGAGGTGGGCAGTTGTTAAATGAGTGTGGACTTGAGAGAACAAAGAAAAGGTTCAGATGATGATTCATTTGCCAACACGTCAAGTCGGCGAAGGACAATATCTGATCCTAGCACCGTCGACCCGTGGTTGCGATGGATGTTTTGTTGTTGTGGTATGTAGGTAGCCCTCAGAGAGACAGACAACAGACAGACCTTCCATCAGTTAAGGCTCGGCATGTGGCGGGGGCTACAGCGGGGCTCAGGGTCGACCCAGTGGGGATCGTAGCGGGCAGTCAGCTTTTAGCTTAAATTATCCTGGTATCCAACCTTCGATTGACCGACAGACAGAACAGACATCCTTTCTGTACCTAGTCAGGTACGCGAGAGCCTAGTACAGAATCTGCATCCTTTTTTCTCCGTCTCGTGAAAAAACAGGTTTTAACTGTGGTGATTCAGTATGTTCAGAGACAAAGACTCCTGCAATGATCGCCCGTGATAAAACGGATCGTAAATCAGTGACAAGTGACGAAATCGCAAGTCTCCACTCTCTCCCGCTCTCACAGGGCTGGGCCGAAGCAAAAACTTCCGCCCTGGATTGGGCTGCTTTGTTTAGACTTCCACCAATCACAGCACGAGATGCCCTGAGAATCAGGCTGTGGCGTCTACCTGCCCGCCCGTTTCACTACTACAAGCCACCCACTAACTCTACTTGGCTTTCTTGGTTCCGAAGGAGTGAGCCTCGAACTTCCCGTCTCAACCTCACTCGCTCGACGACTCAACTTCTATTGAGGCCTCTCCACATTCATCTTCGACATGCATCTAACTCCAAAGCACGCACGCAAGCATGTCTTTGTGTGTGCCGCACTTGTTATGCCTTACTTCCACAGCCAATGACTCGCTGGGTCACATTGTGACTGGCCAATTTTGCACTTTTAATACGGGAAATTCTGAACCCCTCTACACACCCAAATGCCACCCACATCCTCTGAGATCCGGCTTTCTATGAGCCACAGCATCATTGGCGTACCTTACACATCGAATCGGTGACACTTCTGCTGCATTGTCTATTATTATCACAGACCACTCCGCAAACTTCCTCTCCCGTGCCAACGTCACAGTCTTGCGCGTCAAGCCTTGGCTTTCAGGCTGAAGAAAAGAACGGGGAACGGAGTACCGTTCTATCAGTTTTCGGTCAATTCTATCTAAACCTAAACCATGTCAGATATTCCATCTTGTCTGTCATGTGGTGGCCTTGTTGTCAGCATAACCCTCGTGGGTTGTGATGTGATATTGTCACTTCTCCGCCCCTTCACGGCCCGCAGCTCTGGATCTAAGAGCGTACGTGCGTGATATTGGAGTCTCTCAGAGGCATCAGAACAAGGCCCTTGTCCAAGTGGACCTCCAAAGGTCGTGCTGCTTCCTCAATTGGGGCATATCTTGATGTGTATACCCCTGTCAGATCCTTGTTATCATCCATGTTCTATACTTCCTCCCAATGGATCTTTTGTGATGTTCCTTGCTCTTTGTCTTAACAAGTCATCTTTCTTTTGGTGACCAGACTAGGATCTCTTTAATTTGGCTGACGCTTGGCTGTTGAGTTTGATTACATTCAAACTTTTCCACCCGGTGAATCGGCTCTGCTCTTACATCGATCCGCAACTCGGCTCTCTCAGCTGCTTGCCTGCCGTGTCTATACCCCGGAGTGGCTTACCAGAGGAAATCAACTCTCCTTGTGGATGTCGATGTATGTGGGCTTGAAAATCCGCATTGCCGGTTTCTGGTAAGGCTTCCTCTGTTGCTCAGCCCCCAACCCAGTCCCAGCTCCTCCATCATATATCTGTGATACTTCTTCAAGCTCAATGCATTGACTCTCTCTGTTTGGCCTTTTCTAACATCTAAACCTAGAGGAGTTGGACTTTGACGTTCGTTTCAACCACACTCGCTACTTGGTCCAGACGGTCCTGACATTGGTATCACTCACTTGTTGCATTTGAAGGCGGTTGCCTGCCATGCGCTTCTCACTATTGCTCAGTGCCTTGGGCGCTGTAGCTGTTGAGATTCCAGCCCAGAATGCCGGAGAAGGTCTCTATCGAAGGAGTGAATCAGCAAGCCTCCAACCTGCTGCTGCCAATACACAGGCGCCCGCTCAGGATGGATACGTCGCCAGCGTTCCCGAACCTCAGACTTCTGAAGCCAAGGTCGAGCCAGAAACAACAGCGGCTCCGGCACCTCAAGTCACCACTGCCGCGCCGGTTGAGCAAGACGATACCACTGTTGACGGGGCCGATACAGGAACCCCGTACATAGAGGACGGCACCATGGTGGTTTGGAATGCTAAGTGCGGCTGTCCTATACCCGTGACAACGACCGTGGTGGTTCCCCCTTCCCCGGTTATCACAGACAGCAATCCTGCCAACGATCCAACCACAATAGCTCCGCCGCCTGGGACTACCACCGAGCCGCTTCCACCGCCCCCGGTTATCACAGATTCCTACACCGTAGTTCCACCTCCAACCTATGGGCCCTCGACCACCAGCGAGGAGCCTCCTGCGCCTCCAACAACAACGAGTGAAGCCCCATTGCCCCCTACCACCACAACCGAGCCTTATGTACCTCCCACCACAACGACTGAAGCTCCTGAGCCTCCAACGACAACGACCGAGCCGTACGTGCCTCCGACTACAACGACTGAGCCGTATGAGCCTCCAACTACTACCACTGAAGCTCCTGAGCCTCCCACCACGACTGCGCCACCTGGCACAACTCAATCTTGGTAAGTCATTATTGATCATTCAAATAGCTTTCACTCACATACTTGAAGCGCTCCCGGCGGCACCACCACTGTCACCGAAAAGGTTACTGAGAAGGTTACTGAAAAGGTCACCGTTACTGAGACTGAGAAGGTGACAGAAAAGGTCACGGAGAAGGTCACGGTAACCGAAACTCAAGCTGCCTCAACAGTCACAGAAACAGTTCATGAGGGAACTACTGTGGTTGAGACTCGACCTGGGCCGACGTATATCGAGACGGAGCCAGTAACAGTGATAGAGACTGTGCCCGGACCAACTTTCGTCGAAACACTTCCGGGAGAGACCATTGTTGAGACTTTGCCCCCTGTCACAATCACTGAGCCGGGAGTAACAATCACAGAAGATGGGGGTACTATTACTGTACCAGGACCTACCGTTACCGAGGCCGGAACGACTGTGACCGAGCCGGGTAGTACTGTGACGCTTCCTGAAGCTACTATCACAGAGCCTGGCAGTACCGTGACTGAGGCTGGGACAACTATTACTCTCCCTGAGAAAACTGTCACTGAACCCGGAAGCACTGTCACTGAGGCTGGAACTACTGTTACTGAACCTGCGTTGACAATTACCGACGTCGCTACTATTCCAGGAAGCAGGGTTACTATCACCGAGACAGGAGAAGACGAGACAGTGACTATCCCTAGAACTATTGTCCAACCTGGTGAGGATAGAACAGTGGTAAGGACTGTGACTCTACCTGGCCAGGAAACTGTTGTCACCGTATCTGGCGAGGAAAGGACCGTCACGGTTCCTGGAGAGCGTACTGTTGTTACTGTCCCTGGAGAGCAGGCTACTGTCACCATTGAATCAGTCGTCACAGAGAGACTGCCTGCAGAGACTGTGACCCTGACTAAGGACGGTGAGACGGTTATTACTGTGGTTCCAGGCCCGACAACTGTCTACACCACTACCTTGACCATTGGCCAAACAGTACAGCTACCTCCTACCACAGTGACGGCTACTCCTGGACGCATCACCTTGTGCCCCAAGCCTACCGGCCGATCTGCGCCACTCAACCGCAAGTCTGATCTCACATTTGGCTGCGAGCCAGGCTACGTCTGCAACCCGCCGAAGCCAGCATGGTGCAACTTCTGGGCTGAGCCACCTGATGAGGACTATCTTTGTGAACCTCAATACTGTATCAAGGCTCCCAAGGTCAAGAAGGCGAAGTGGCGCAAGAACAAGACTGGTTTCTACCCTCGTTCTCCTGGCTACTTCAACCTGAACCCAGAGGCTTTCGGTCTTTCTTATGATATCTTTGAGAAGCAAGTCTATGAGAAGATCGTGAGTGGTGAGCTGAAGACCTTTTCTACCGGAAACTGGGCTTCACAGACAACCTTGAGTGACTGGCCTGATGCCACTACTTCAGTAGCAGAGTCCTATGACAACATCCCCAGCAATAACCAACGACGTGGACTCCACATGTTCGACAGGCGAGATGTCACCCCAGCTATTTGCTACGATGACTGTGATGGTGCTTACAAGATCGCACTCTCTACTGGAAAATCGGACAAGCTCTGCAGAGCAGGTTCTTCATTCCGTGGCAGCTACTATATGTGCCGCGACTGTATCAGTGACAACACTTCCAAGAGCAAGAACACCATTCGCGATTATGTTGAGCCCGAGTTTAACCAGTTCATTGATTATTGTGATGGAAAGGATCCCACGACTGCGACCACAGCTGCATCTGGTCCTGAGTCCCAAGTTACTGGATCTGCGGATGTGGAGACGACAGGACAGGTCGAGGCCACCTCTGGCGATTTCAGTGCCTTTCCAGTCACAACTGGAGAGCCTGAGCCTACTACTGACGCTGCTGAGACTACAGAAGCTGCTGTTGCCTCGGATGCTGCTGGATCGACTGCTGGTGCATCACAGCCAACCACATCTGGAGAAGCTGCTGAAGAGAGTTCGGTTCCGGCTGAGACAACTGAAAAGGCCGAGGCGACCGAGACTGAGACAGCGGCTGAAGAGACATCAACCAATGGGTCTGAAAACTCTGAAGCTGGTGAGTCTACCACCTTGTCTATCACAGCCAAGAGTGTTGTCGTAACTGTCACATCGTCACTCGGTGACTCTGAGACTGATTTAGTTTCTACCCTTACAGAAACAGGATCGAGAACAGCCCAGACCAAGGGCATTGAGACGGATTCTGCCGAGACAGGTTCAGAAACTGATGTTTCCGGAGCTGCCACTGAGACCAGGTCGCGCCTCGAGACACGCACTTCATCTTCTACCTCAGACGAGACTGCCGCGCCTTCAACGGTTGAGGCTGCGGCATCACGATTGACGGCTGGCTTTGCCACTATCCTCGCACTTTTGTCGATGCTGATGGTGCTCATTTAATCTTCAAACAGCAACAATTTTTTGAACATATTTATTCACGACACTCCTTACATTAATGTCTCTTGGACAATGACTACACGTTTATGTTTACACTTCATGGATACTCAATGCACATGCAGGATTTTGGAAGAGACGATTTTACGAATTTGGATATTTGGCTTTTGCCACGACACTCATTTGGCGCAAGGTGAGAAGCATATAGAATCGACATTGAGATACCAGACACTCCTTATATATATACCACGGGCATGAGCGAGGAGATTAAATTGTTTTAGTAGGTAGATGGTGGCCATAACTGGCCAGTTTTAATAGCAAGGAGAGCACATAAGGTGCATGGCATGAGGTTGAAAATTGATCATATTGTCGTCGCCGATTTGGCAGACTGAGTTTAACAATCTTGTTGTCTGTGCTGTTTTGCGTGAGTTGGTGTGATGTGGTCTGATATAGTACAAATATAGAGTACAATCGCCCGTCCTATCATATCATACATAGTACAATCTGACAAAAGAAATATTGATGATAATCGTGAAGTCGTCTCGAATCGTGCAACATCCGGCTCCGCTACCAGGCGCACCGAAAAGACATGTCTTGTTGATTGTTAGTAAACACTACCATTTTCTGGAGTCATGAACTTACTGTTTTTTGTTAAATGTTCCTTTTTCTTCTTCTTCTCTTCCTTGTTTACCAGTCACTTAGTCCAAGTTCCTTGCGTCTGACATAGAGAGGCTCGTCAAAGTTGCCAGCTTCAAGGCTCTCAAGATATGCAACCTCAGCATCGACTGTCGACCTGCGGCGAGGGAAGACCCAAAAGGAAGGAAAAGAAAGACCAAGCATGTTGACAGTGTGTTTTTGGATATGGCTAACAACCAGTGTTGCTCTTTGAAGAGATATGAGTGTATTTCTTGTGAGTGAATGAATGAAGGTATTCAGAAACTGTCTCAGACCTTTGAGAAAAGCATTCCCGCCACGTCTTATATATCCCATACCCTCTCTCAAATATGAATTCTTGTAAACGCCTCCATCTCAAAGCCCTATCTATCGCCATGTCCGTGATCTCGGACGGAAAAGGCAAAGGTTGAACCCTTAAGGGTTCTGGGCTTTTAGCCTGGAATGCAAGGGGCACCGAACGTCTAGTGGCGGCTGTCTACGCTGATCACCCTCTACGCTCCAAGGGGAAGATAACAAGTCCTAGTTTCTTCGGCATAGCTTCTGTGTGGAATGCTGAAGCTCATAGTTGTGGCTGTAGTGCAGAGTCAATCTCGTCGAGGCTTTGACGTAGCGATCTACGGATGGTTCCTGAAAGAACGGCGTCGATCACTAGGTATGTGACATGAGAGGCTGAATCCAAACAATCGAATAGGAAATGAAGAGTCTTGTTCTTTCATTCATTAACAAAAATGCAGTATCTGAGAAAAGTCATCATGCATGTTCATCCTAACCAACGCCGTCATTCCTGAGCTTGTTTGTCATGCACATTATAAGTAAGTTACATCAAAGAGTAATAGTCAGAGTCTGTGTCTGTATGCATCCAGCTTTTGCCTCCCATCCGTCATTCATCTGTCTAGAAAGTCATGTCTCATTCCACAACCAGTCCCTCGAGCACGCGCATCGCTTTTGATCCTTCACTCTCAAATCGGTTAACAATCGATTCGCACTCATACTTGAGCTTCTTCTCGGCCTCTGAAGCATTGTAGTAGATCCACTCTTGCACTGTCATCTGCTTCTCGGGTGACGTCAAAGTCTGGCCCTGCTTAAGGTATCGTTCTGCGCTATTCTCCTTGTCTGTGTTGACACGCGGTGTTCCGAACACAGCCTCGAGATCCAACTCTGTCCATGGTGCCGTGCTGCGGAGTCCCGCAATCACGTTGCGCCTCGATGGTGACGAGCGCGTTGGTGTAGAGTTCACTGGTGCAAGTGCTACTCTGTTAGGATTGGAACTCGTGGTAAGTCTGGAAGAGGGCCGTTGGTTCTCGGCGTCAGAGGATTGGGGTGATTGGGATGGTGAGATAGCTGCTTGTCGAGCCGAGGGTGCGGGAGAAATGATTCTCCCAGGAGTAGATGGCGGGTTTGCCTGGTGAGCCGCGCTTGCGGGTGGTGATGATGGCATAGGCTGTTGTGCGGGAGATGTCTGCGCCGATTCGAACGATACAACACGGGAAGAGGGTGGCCTCTCATCCTTCTGCTCTTCGGACGCGTAGACTTCGACGTCCTCTTGCATGCGCTCTTCAACCGGTTGTGTGAAGGGCTGTGTGGATTCCTGGCTCGCCGCTGCTTCCATCGATTTCCGAGCTTCCAGTGACTTCTTTGAAGGACGTCCACGACCACGTTTAGGAGCCGCTTCACTCACTTGGCTCTCATCAGGTCCAGCAGATGGACGAGATGCCAATGAAGCCTTAGAAGGACGTCCCCGAGGTCGTTTTGTGGGTTGCTCGTCAACGGGCTCTGGAGTAGCTACTTCTGGTTCTTCAACTAGTTCCAAATCATTGCCGGAAGCCCTCGAGGCGAGGGATGACTTGGAGGGGCGTCCACGACCTCGGCTGCCTGTACTCAAACGAGAATTATTAGACTTCTTGACAACAGTGTCAGTGCTAACAAGACTATCGTCGTGTGCTGTCTCGTCAACCTGAGTCTCGGCTTCTGGCTGTGTGACCTCTTCCTCGGGCATGTCGCGTTCCTGCAGCTGTGCTTCCTCAGGCTCAACTTCATCTTCCTCAACCGGCTCGGGTGCCGCCTTGGTCTTCTTAGACTTGCTCTGCTTGGAAGCCTTTCTGGTTCCAGTCTTTCGACCCTTCTTTGGGATATGTAATTCCTGGTGTTCAGGCTCAGGCAGGTGCTCAGGTTCCACTTCTGGCTCTGGTTGAGGCTCATGTTGAGGTGCTAGCTCCTCATCAACCTCCATCTCAGCCTGCAAAGCTCGAAGTTCGTCATCAACATCGTCTTCATTCGGCTCCACTGGCTCAGGGTTGAGCATGGCATAGTCTCGAGAATACTCGTGTTTCTCGGCCTTCTCTCCCTTCTCTTTCTTGCTCTGACGTCTTTCGGAATCAGAGTGGGCAGTTATCTCCTCGTCTTCAGTAAGTTGTCTCTCAAGGTCTGCTTCGAGTTGGCGCTCAATCTCATCATCATCAGGGAATGTTCCAGGAGTTGCCTCGTAGCCAGTCGTCACAACCTCCGAGGTCGCGGAGCCTGAGGACGCGGTGCGAGAAGATTTGGCGGATGCCTTACGTGTCGTCTTCTTCTTGCCACCCTTCTTAGAGACAGAGACTTCGGTGACATCAACCGACTCATCGTGTTGCAATGTCGACTCATTTACAGAAACGCTGCCACCTTTCCGGGTGGCACGTTTCTTGCCTGGTGGAGACATGGCCATGCTACTGGCATCTTCCACTGCTGCGCTGTCTCGCTTCTGCCCTCGGACAGGCTTTGTTACTGGTGCCTCTTCTCCTTCAATGGACGCCTCGACATCCTCGGCAGGTGCTTCCTTTTTGGCTTTTGTCTTTCGTCCTTTCGTAGTCGCTTTGCGAGCCTTTGTCTTCTTTCCGCCCTGTGTAGTCGAAGTTGTTGTCAAGACGCTGTCCTCGATGGCAACTGTAGACTCGTTGATCGAGGTCACCTCCGATGCGACTGTAGCTACTGATTGCGCAGACAATCGCGAGGCTTTAGATGCGCGTCCAGCTTTGCTTCGGCCAGACTTCTTAGTAGATTGCTTCTCTTCGAGAAGAATGAAAAACGGGCAGCCAGGAGATCGGTTATAATGCTCGTCTCTGTAGACACCCGGTCAGTCCACGCGACATTGGGAACGAGGGCGCGATACTCACAGAGGCTTGTCGCCAGGCTCCCAGCCGTCGAGGGCCAATTGGCAGTAGGTGCACGTGGCCATATCGTCCGAGTCTTCAGTGGGTGTGTACTTCCATCCTGCGTCAACTAGCTGTTTGGTTTTGCACTTCCATCCCTTCTTAGAATCATGGGGCCATCTTCCAGCAAATGTGGCCTTTCGAGCATCTTTCATGTATGGCTGATCGGGATCTTGTTGCGCATAATCTCCGACCTCGGCTTCAATCGCGGCGACAACCGCCCAGCCGCATTCGGGAGCATGCTTGAGGTGCTCGAGGAGAGGGTCGTCATTGGCCTCCCAGCCGTCGAGGCCCTTGTGGCATAGAAAACATGTGGTATTGTCGGGGTTTTCTGATGTAGGATTGAAGAAAAGTCCAGCGCGGGCGAGCTACAAGATTGTCAGCGGATTATTATGGTGTTTGCAAATATCGTGGTCATCATACGCTCGCGGGTGTGATGCTCTTGTGTGGCCAATTCAAAGCTTTTGTACCCCTTCCGCTGGCTGTAGAACCTCGCTTTTTCGAGTTCTTATGAAAGGAGGCCAAACGGCTCTCGTATGTGATGAATTGGTCTGTGACGTCGTCAAAAGACATGGTTGTTGAAGTGTTGCGCGTGAAAGCGCGGTCAGTCAAGGGTATTTAAAACAAGACGCGATGCTTCGATTGTGGGCAAACAAATTGGAGAGCTTGGTCTACCTGGGTAATAAGGTAGTAAGCAGCTAGCAAGCGGTCGAGGACGTAGAAAAAGAGAAAATAGAATAGATAATCGCGCTCATGAGAGGATAAGTTCAACTCGAAAACAAGGGCGCGCGCTGCGTCAACACAATAGAACTGAATGACGGTGAAAGACGGTTGTGGTGGAAGGAATTGAATTAGTTAGAGGTGATCGTAGCGAGCGAGGATCTATCCAAGACAAGCAAAGCAAGCAACGCAAAGTGTCGGGGTGGGTCCTGGCGCGTTTGTTTACTTTGGTGGATCCCTGCCAGCAACTCAACCCCAGAGATCTAAACATCCATGGACTTGGGGGCCCTAGGTCACCAATCGAGGCCTGGGAAATACAGCACTCTGAGACGGTGAGTATTAGGTCGAAATACTTCAGTATTGTTGGGGTTGGTCGATTGTCTAGGTATACTACTCCGAAATATTCGCCTGTACCTATTATTATCAATTTGCCCAATTACTACCCCATAGACTATCCGTATATCTCTTAACACTACCATCAATCACATAGGAAGAAGCAAACATCACGAAAAAATTACCAAATCGTATGTTATCTGACTCGTCAATTCTGACTTGAGACCCTGTGCATTGATCTATCACAGCTTGCCAGCAGCCTGCAGTCCTCGCTCACCATCAACCAAGATACACCATCCCTCATGGCCTCGGCCACCATCACCAGCAACAACAGCTTCAAATGTCCCAGGAGCGTTAGCAAACTTGAGGACAGCATCATCAAAACTTCCAGGCTGCAGCCACACCGACGGAATGCCCTTCTCCTTTGCCTCTTGGAGCACCTTCAGGGTCGCTGCTGGTGGAGTAATGACTGACAGAGATGTCTGCGTAGGGTTTGAAAGAGCGGTCACACTGGGAACAGTAGGGTGATCCTTGTTTAAAGCGTTGACAGTCTCTGAGCCCGGGTTGATGGGAGTTACTGGTAAGTCATGATGGAGATACCAGGCAAAGACTGCAAGCTCCTTGATTAGCAAGATACCTACTATCGCATACAAAGAACTGGCAGTCTTACCACGATGTCCGAACTTGGCAGGGTTGGAGCTGGCACCAGCCACGGCATAAGCGGATGATGCAAAGAATTTGCGAACAGTAGCCTCAGTCGCCATCTTGAAGATAATGTATGTTGCTCAATGCTGAAGAAACAAGTGCTCGATGATGCTGTAAGTGAGTGAGTTTGTGCCGAGGATAGAGGTCATTGCGGGGCTCTACCTAAGACGCAATACCTCTCTCACACTTACAACTGATTGCCATTAACCGACCATTATGAATCATCGCAGTGTCTGGATTTTATAGGCGAATTATGAGGCACTTTCCATGTGAAACGCCATTCTTACTGGATCAATTTCATATTCGGGTAACTTTCCTCGTACAAAAAATGTATCTCCAAGGAGATTGTTGAATTGACTCCGCCATTAGAAAGCTACTGATTTACTGCCTCACATCTAGGATCGGCTCAGTCGGATGATACCGTCATCTATCAAGGAGATTCTCGATGCCACTTGAGTCTAAATATTTCCCCTTGTTTTACGAATTCTAACGTGATCATCAAGTTGTTGTCAAACTAAGTCTAAGCTCTTTAATGGTCCCAAATGTTAAGAATCCTGACACACAACTCAAATCATTTAACCCTTAAAAGACAGAGTATACAACGATGTAAAAGATGCTGTCAGTAAGCAGACTAACTGGTCTAATCTATTGAAGACTTCGCCGAGTTTCCCATCATAGCAAAAGTGCGATTTTGGTCAGTTGCAAGTCGACTAGGCTTTCAATGTTCAGGGTAACCAACAACGTCTTTGAATCATAAATTGCAACGCTGGACAGATCATGATCGGTAGTTAGCAAGCGAACAAGATCTACGATAAGCTTCATTATTAGCCAGGACTTGAATGATGCTAGCCAAAGCTGGGAAGACTCAGCCAAGAGATAATTTCCGAGATCGCGGGATGAAATGAAACCCCCATCATGGATTCGAAAAGAGATTAAGCGATTACAATGACGTCGTTCTGGAAATTCAATGTCACATGAAGGGTAGCAGTAATTTCAGGGTCTGCCAAGCTTAGGGTATATTATCAGAAGTAGCTTCAACTCATCAGGTAAGTATGCATACATACCTTAGTAGCTAATCAGACGTTAGTAGAGGCGGAGAGTACTTAAATGAGGCTATCCTGACATAGAGTCGCCAGACTACTAAGATAGCGTATGAAGGATTGTGGTTACTGAGTAAGCACAAAAGAGTCACATAAAGCATGACGACATGTGTCTCTGAAAACAGAAGATATCGGGGTATCAACTGCAGAGGTTTGTTGGCGTAGAAAGACGAGATGCAGCCTCGCAGCGACGAATATAGCGGAGCGGAATGGGTCCAAGAATATAATGCCTACTAAATAATAGTAGCACATTAGCTCGTATAAAGTGAAACATGAAACCAAGTTATTGGATGATTGCAGAGGTAGCCAAGTATTGGCAGCCTTAACTGACCATTTTAATGCAACGGGTCCTTGTAAGGCTCTGCTGCATTGGGAGGGATGAATTCCATCCAGTGTCACGATAGCCTCACCAGGAAGAGCTTCTGCCAAGACATATTGGAATCCGAGAACTGCGACTTCGGCAATTGATTTTTATGTCAAGAGACCTTTGGGCCGGTATTTGACATAGCTTTTTGATTCATCCAAAAGGGGCCCTGCATTATTTACTCCGGTTTCAATAGTTTCACCGCCAAACGGCATTAGCAGAGAAAGGACATAATTAAGCAGACAGCTTTGGTGTGAAGGCTAGCCCAGAGAGGGTCAGGCTTTTTCTGTATCTACAGGCCTGGCTGACTTTGGCCCATAGGATGACCCCGTTGCCCCGTCAGTGTATGGGAAAAGAGCCCAGGGAGGCCAGAGCGTGGATAGGAAATGCAAACTGAATGCAATCTTGGCCCTCTTTTCCTCTTTCTTCATCTTTCAACCTCTCAACACCATTTTCTAAACTCGAAAACAACATCTCAAAGACATCTTTCGACCGTTGTCGTATTGTTCGTTTGTCGTGTCACCAAACCAACCTAACCAGCCACACATCCACTAACGTCAACGTTGACCCCTCTAATAATAAAACAGACCAAAAATGGTGAGTGAGCTCAGTTGCCCCGGACACCCCTTTCTTCGCCCACGTAAACAATGCACCCCGCCCTCTGATTCGACAGTTTGGCCGCCCGAATAAGTTGGAAGTTGGTTTTGCTTCAGCTCGCCCGGCACAAGCCTTGGTTTTTCTACCTGCATCCCGCATACTTCTACAACTACCGAGTAGCAAGACTCTCAATCGCATTCTTCAGAACGCATTTTCTACAATACTATACCCTCGAGCCTCGAAATCAATTCACAAGCAATCATGTCTTCTAACAAATTCGATTCTCAGGCTTCTACCAACTACAAGGAGGCTTTCGCTCTGTTCGACAAGCGCGGAAACGGCCGTGTCACTGTTGACAGCCTCGGTGATCTGCTGCGCGCCTGCGGTCAGAACCCTACCCTCGCTGAGATCCAGGACCTCGAGAAGAATGTCGGTGGTGAATGTGAGTTTTCTCCCTGCGATGCGATTTTAAAAGCGCATAACTGACGTTGACGATACAGTTGACTTTGAGACATTCCAGCGTGTTTTGAACCGCCCTGGCGGCTTCCGCGATCCCGGCGAGCCTGAGGAATACTGCCGCGGTTTCCAAGTGTTTGATAAGGATATGACGGGTTTCATTGGCGTCGGCCAGCTCAAGTACATTCTGACAAACCTGGGCGAGAAGATGACTGATGAGGAGGTCGACGAGCTCCTCAAGGCCGTTGACACCAGCTCAGGCCAGGTCAACTACACTGGTAAGCTCTACAATACACAAATCATCGATCTGAGCAGTGACTAATGCGATGCAATTACAGACCTCGTGCGAACCATTCTCGCCAACTAGACAATGTACAGATATGGGCGGGTTAGGTTGTGCATCTGCGTTGACGGACCGGCGTTTGCTTGTTTGATTGATTATGGATATGGATGGAAATCGGCTATGGGAACGCTGAAATGATGAATTATTGCTGCGCATTTGCGGCGCACGAGCATGTTGGATTTTTGTAGATACTTAGGGGACAGGAGTCTAGAATGAAGCTCTGTGTGCCTTGACTCGAACGGTGTCTCATTTGGTGAAGTTATCATGGACTGAGCTCATGACGCCTGGTATAAACAACGCCAATTAACTCTCGCTTCTGTTTACATAAACAGTTTCACATAAATCAATTACGATACTGGCTTCAAGCCTAGGTACCTTAAAATTATGCCATAATTATAGCACATGATAACTCATTAGCCGCCCTGATCATGACACCGCATCCGATTGCCCCGCGTTTTCCACCCATAACTAAGCGGGTCCCAAGAAGGAGCTTGGGCTCGGGGGGTTCTACCTTAGCTGCACCTTTACTGATGGAAGGTATCGCCCCATCTGCATCTACCTTACAGTAACGCCTTCAACGCCTAGAAACGGATCAATCGATTTAGTCTCTGAGCAAAAGCCCCTCTTTCAACTGTAGGTTGCCTCAATCATTCATCACCAAGCCAATCGGCTAACATCCCAAGAAAACATCCCGAGCCCGTCCATCATAGGTATTTATATCCAAGCTGGATAAGCGTGCTTCCCGCAGACCCCTCCTCCTCCTCTCTCTCTTCATCCTTCTCGTCGCCGTCACTCTGGCTTCTTCACGAGCCTTCTCTCGTCTCGGCTCTTTAGTGAATCACTTCAGATTCCAAGCCCCACGAACTATTCTATCACCAAGACAGCTTATTACTAGCACAATGGCTCCCGAAAAGTATCGTAACCCTCCTCAGGCACCGCCTCTGTTCACCGCCACCCCCGAATCGATCGCTGCCGATACCAAGAAGCTTTGCGATGCTACCAAGAATGTGTTGGATTCTGTAACTGCCAATGTTACTGCCGACAAGGCCTCCTTTGCCAATGTGCTTGAGCCCATCCTCATTGACGAGAACTTGGCTGCTACGCAGAGACGCATCCTGACTTTCTACCACCATGTTTCCACCAACAAGGAGCTTCGCGATGCCTCCACAGAGGCCGAGAGCGCCTTCAATGACTTTGGCATTGAATGCAACATGCGCGAGGATGTCTTCAACGCCGTTGATGCTGCATACGCCAACCGAGCATCTGAGGATCTCACCAAGGAGCAGGCGCATGTCCTTGAGAAGGAGCGACAGAAGTACATTCGCAACGGTCTTCGACTGCCCGCTGGTCCTAAGCGAGACCGCTTCAAAGAGATCCAGAAGCGTCTGAGCGAGCTTGAGATAACGGCTCAGAAAAACCTGAACGAAGAGAAGGGTGCCATCTGGTTCACTCCTGAGGAACTCAAGGGGGTTCCTTCTGACGACATTGACATTGATTCATTGGAGAAAGGTACTGGCGAAAACGAGGGCAAGGTCAAGCTGTCCTTCAAGTATAACCATTACTTCCCTCTCATCAAGTATGCTGTCGACGCCGATACTCGACGCAAGTACACCATCGCGGAATCCAACAAGGTGAGGAGAGCAACGAAACTAAAAAATCTCAGCTAATTCAACCTTCAGGCGAATGTTAATGTTCCTATCTTCCAAGAGGTCATCACCCTCCGAGATGAGGCCGCTCGCCTTCTCGGTTACGACAATCATGCCGCTCTGCGCATTGAGGAAAAGATGGCTAAGACTCCTGCTGCTGTTCGCACTTTCCTAGACGATCTTCGAAACAGATTGGCCGAAGGTGGTGCGAAGGAGATCAACGCACTGAAGGAGTACAAGAAGAAGGACTACGAAGAGCGAGGCCTTTCATTTGACGACAGTTTCTACATGTGGGACACATCGTTCTACTCCAGAATACAAAAGGAGAAGGAGTATAGTGTTGACGAAGCTGCCATCTCACAGTACTTCCCGGTTGAGTCGACATTTGCCGGCATGCTTAAGATTTTCGAGGAGATTTTCGGCTTCGTGTTTGTCGAGCTCAAGCCTGAGGAGCGAGCGAGGCTCAGCCCCACTGGCAAGGCCGAAGACATTGTGTGGCATGAGGATGTTCTGATCTACAGCGTGTGGGACGATGAGGCATCGGGCTCGAGCT